TCGATGAGAAAAAGAGGCGACATGGCCGAAGGAGAGGCCGCGTAAGAAGACGGCGTGCGGGCGCGGTCCGGTAATAATGGGCGCAGCCTCGTGAGCGTCGGAGTTGGAGCGGTTGAGGAGCCAAGGTATTGGTGGCGGGGCAGCGGAGAGGGGTCGGAGAGGACTGGAAGGGAAGGGCACGAGCGGCGCCGCACACTGGTATGGCTTCCGGCGGGAGCGCGCGAAACCTCCGTTTACGCACATAAAACAGCGAATATCTCGAAAACCGCACATGGGATCTCTTTGGGCCCATTAGAGCTTTTGATCAGAATGACGAGCTGAGCAACATATCCAAGCGGCATCGCGTTTGACTGGGGGGGATTTCCCATAAGGAAGGTGCGGGGTTCTTTTGAGTTACAGCTAAAAAAAAAATCTAGTTATATGCTATTAATATTTGATAGCTTGCCCGTGGCTGTAGATGACCTACTGCAGGCGCTTAAGCATGAACCTAACTTTTATTTTCAAGATCCATTTCTCATTCAATCTGTCCACGTTGTGGCTCACACCTCTCAACACTATTACGGTCAGTGACGTGGCATGCTTTGTGATATATCGATTGATCTCCCATATAAACCTATGGAAAAGGATCGATAGACAGGGTATTTACACCTTAATAATCGATTCTTTACCATGGCTTCAAATGGAGAAATATCGATAATCGATTAATCACGCCTCGCCACCGATTGGGGTGTGGTGAAGAATTGGAAACAGATATGGAACCGGAGGGAAGCCTCAAAGACAGCTATCACCGACTGGCCCGACCGAGGAGACAACGATGAAAGTAGGGGAAAGAGGAAAAAGGCAAGAAAATAAACGTGGGATTCCCAATCGCTGATAACTGATAAGTCGTGAATGTAGAGTCGCTACGAGAGATATTATTCTGTGGCCACTATAGCGGTGCACTAAAGTGTATGGCGGGTTACGGAAAACTATTTTTCGCAGGAATAACGATCCCGCTTGTACACTGTAAAAAATTGAGCAGTGAAATTCTATACCGGAGTCTACATAGCGCCCGAAAACCCCAAGTGATATGAATGCATAGCGGGATCTATTCTCCTTACGGAACGATTCACGCTATTACGCTACGGAATCTACTATTTTTGCGGAGTGTCATATCATACGCTTCTATGGTGCTGACTTCACTTCGCATTTATATCACACTAGATTTTTGGGTGAAATATAAATTCTGCCACAGATTTTCACTCCTCGATTTTTAACAGTGTATACCGTAACTGTATTGTTTTATTAGAATGTTTGCGTATTCATATTTTGTTCGTATTCATATGCGTTATATTTCCGAAAACAGAAATTTATGAAAGATATGGAAAAATGCTTCTTTTGTTTTTTCATGTTTCGCAAAATGTAAAAATTGTGACCTCTATGTTTGTGTGTTTGATTGCGGGCTGTATTCTCTAGCCTCAGAAAAATATGAAAGAATGCAGAGCCTGGCGTAATTTCATGGAATATTTTACTGAATTTTCAAATCTTTCATTTCTTTCTTACATTTCATGCCACCCTGGACCCACACTGAAAAAAAAAATATCGGTGTATTTACTACGGAAAGGGTAAAATTACCAAGAATTCACGGTTCTATTTGATCCCAGTTTTTTCTTGGTAAAATTACCATTTATGGAATTGGTAATTTTACCGAGAAATCTCGATAAAATTATTGAACTTTCTCGGTAATTTTACTGGACCTTGGTATAAACCCCAATATTTTTTATCCACTGTGGTAGAATTGGCGAGATAAAATGGCAAAGTTACCGGGAATTGATTACCAATAAAAGTGGTATTCCTACCTGATAAAAAACAGTAAAATACCGGTTTTTAGGCAAGTTTACCGGTTTGTCTTGGTAAAATTACCAAAAATTCGTGAAAAAAAGTGAGATGGTAAAGGTACCAACGGACCGTGGTAAAAAGGCCGAGAATTTTTTTGCAGTGCATCGGAAAAAAGCGTAGTAGTTTTTGTGGGAGAGTGTCCGATTTGAAAGGGTGTGAAGTAGAGTACCTGTATAGCGAGAGTATGGACAGATCGCTTCATGGAGGGCTTAGGGCCCAAAAGTGCAGCCACCCTTCTAACCAACTTCTAACGCACAAAATTTCACTGCCAGTCTGAAGATTCCAATTTAACGAAGATGGCTAAGAAAGTACATAAATGAGCGTTCTTTCACTAAAATGAGTAAATTTATGAAAAAAACTAAGTCAAATACGTGCTTTATAAACGATGGTTCGTAACAATTGTATTGATACATCGCTCTGGATAATTGAAATTCATAGGTTGGCTGCATTTCTGGGCCCTAACTTTATTCGCGGAGGCATCGGTGAAGGGCCTGATGGATTTTCGGAGTTTCATATCTCGTCACCTTCCAGGCAAAGTATCACAAGCGCCATGCGGCGTTTAAAAATTTCCGCCGCCATTTTATTTTTTTACTGAGAAATTGTTGGTTGAATCTGTTCGAAAATTTCACTAAATTTTATCGGCAGCACAAAGAAAATTCGGTGTAATTTTCGGACAGCTTCGTTGAACAATTTCTCTGTAAAAAAATATAATGGCGGCGGAAATTTTTAAACGTCGCATGGCGCTTGTGATACTTTGCCTGGAAGGTGACGATCTGTCTATACTCTCGCTGTACAGGTACTCCAGTGTTAAGTAGCGGTTTACGACAAGTGAAATGGTAGTGCGTTGTTTGGTTTCAGTCGAGCAGCTCGAGTCAGCCGTCGGCGTCGGCGGGGAGCAACCGGAACGTGCTGCTCAAGAACGAGGCGATCCGGATGGGGTCCTTCCACTCGTCGAGCAACGTGGGCCGCCCGGGGCCCGGCCCCATGTCCGGCGTCGTGAGCCAGAACTGCCAGCTCTCGGCCACCGCCGCCGTCGCCGCCGCCACCGGCTCCACGGCCCCGCCCCCCGGCCGCATCAAAGCCCTCGGCCCCGCTCGCTGCATCCGTGAGTATCATTCAATATACTTACACTATCGTAATGGATCACTAGACAAGCTACGAAATAAAGGATTCTCATACATGATTCCTAACCAAAATTTCACGCAGAACACGATTCACACGACGAAAATTACCGAAACCAATTCCTAACGAAGATATTAACGGGGGTTTTTTATCGGAGGATAAAAACGCTCTGTCAAGGTGTCTGCAAGTTCACTGGAAAAAGAAAACGCATTGGATCTCGAGTCCAGACTCTTGGAAACAATGACAAGAAAAAGGACTCATGATTCGATCAGATTTACGCTTAAATCAAAAGGAAATTCGCTCCAATTAAGAGGCTTGGTTCTTAATTTCAGCTTAAATCTGATCGAATCAAGAGTACTTTTTCTTGTCGATGTTTCTAAGAGTCTGGACTCTAGATCCAAGGTGTTTTTTTCCCAGTGTAGTTCTGATTATTTAAGGGTAGTCCGCAAGTAATGAAGTTTTCCGGATTTCATAATAATATTCCGGATATATAATTATAATTCCGGATATATAATTATAATTATTAAATTAATATAATTAATATCATTTCGAAAATCATTTGAAAATCCATTCCCAGTTCTGATTGGCTCTTACGACCACCAAACACCGCCATCGGTCAACTGTCACCAATTCGTTTTTCGTATGACATTCGTTCGCGAAAATTTGCCTTTTCCGACCCACCTCCCGAGGTGGGTTAAGATTTTTGGATGTGTCGTCAACGCTGCCAGCGTGAAAACTCAAGGTTGTAAGCGCACCGTCGTCGCCCGGAGGGAATTTTGCTCCGTTGTAACGGAGGTTGGCATTAAGTTTAAAACATCGACCAAACCCACTCGCGAAAAGCCTGAAGTATTCTCATCGATAGGATTTTAATAATCCTCCAATTCAATTGAAACTTACCGCGAGCATTGACTCGGGAAAAAGATCGATACACAAGCACCTAAGAGGTGAAATCTCGCGGCAACCTGAAACGTCCCAGGCGTTTTGGTTTTTCTAACACATTATCTAATTGAGTTAGTTTTCTTTACGGATAACGCCCTATGAATAGTTTCATCAAATCAAGAAAATCAGTCACAATAAACTGAACGTTTAAATGAATGAACGTGTCAAAAAAAAAAAAAGAATCAAACAAAGAATGGGAGAGTCAGCGGCAGGAGCTAGGTAGTCGAAACAATCGGAAGTGAAATTGGAACTGAATTTTTTATGATGGTACGGGGTAATGGGTTACAGTCGGAGGCCGGCTGTGCACTCCAGCGTGAAACGCCTTTGAGAAATGCCTGTTTGCGCCGCGTCACACCGCGTGGGAATCTCTTAGATGGACTGTACGTGGAATGAATTCCAGCAAATAGCTTTCCAATTATGATCAGACCTACACGGTACTCCTAAAAGCATTGTCAACGAGAATTGCGTCTGTTCCTTCGTAAGCCGGAGGGAAAGCGTCAAACGTTTGACCTTATCTGAATCTCCTCCGCCGATTTCTGGGAGTTCTCGCGGAAAATTGGTTCGTTACACATTGCGGAGGAGGTATTATCGAGACTTTACCACTTCTTCCCGCGTAATTGACACCTTGCGATTCCTGTAAGCCGCTCCGTAGTCGAGTTTCGCAACCAAGGCTCTCAGTTACGAAGGGTTGTTGGATATCACGAGTTGTTGCCGTTTCACGTGGAGTCTAAATAGTTCTTTTTTTTTACTTTTCCTATCGTAAGTTTCGATTTACAAAGGACCCCGCACACGTCTTATGGGTATGCGTACCACGATCAATTGCCAATTTGTTTCATTGCATTGAAGAAATTGTCTTTGGATTCCGATCAAAAGTCTTCGTTGCTGCAACTTTCTCGAAACTGAAATCGATGGTGGTTTACATTTCCACAAGGAGTGTGCGGGGTCCTTTAAGGTGATTCGATGGACGCCATATTTTGTGTCAGAACGGCATGCGATATATCGCATCAATTTGTTCCATTTTTTCAGCCACCCGTCATTTTTCTCCAATTTTGAGATCGCAATTCTGTTGTCAGAAGACTGAAACACTCACTTACCAATTTTAACAAAGAAATTCAACGGAATAAAGGCGTGTTTTTTTTAGAGAGAAAGTATCGCATTCGAGGGCAGTTTCGATATCAGTATCGAATGCGATTTTTTCTCTCTGAAAAAACCACGCCTTTATCACGTTGAATTTCTTCGTTAAAATTGGTAAGTGAGTGCTTTAGTCTCCTGACAACAGAATTGCGATCTCAAGATTGGAGAAAAATGACGAGTGGCTGAAAAAATGGAACCAATTGTTGCGATATATCGCATGCCGGTCTGACACAAAATATGGCGTCCATCGAATCACCTTAAAAGAAAAACAAGTGGAAAGCAAACATATGTTGAAAAACTTCGGTAATTATATGGAGGTATGATGAAAGAATATTCATCATTAACACAGCTAGCAATGGTGGTGCAGTAGCTTATTTGGAATGGGAGCAATTAGTTGAATCTATTTAATAATGACGATGATTCTGTGACCAAAGATGAATGAATGTAACTGCGTCTCTGCGGTACAGGGTGGGAGACTGCCATTCTACCAAACTATGTGATATAAAGCCCGCATGTGAGTAAGGAAGATCTCCGAAAACAAAGTCTTTGTAGGATTCCCATTCATTGAGAATGGCCACGACTGTCTACATTTAAATTTCTCGATGTCGGTCCAGGGTATTTACAAACGGAGAGATATAGCACGGAACAAACAGCTTCCGTCACCTTTCATAATAGCACGCGTTTTCTCAGCCATTGCGTAATAGAGTCTCAGAATAAAAGACAATCTAGGAAAGTGAATAAACAGTAGGAGAAAAAAGGCGCAAGGTGAAAAATTAAGCGAGACAATCAACCAATCGGAGCAGCCGAGAGATTGCGAAGGAGTGTGCGCGGCTATAGATGAAGGACGATGCGACCCAAACCTCCTTAGCGGTTGGTGTGGCGGGAGGGATGGCTGAGAGCGNGGGGGGGGGGGGTGTTACGTCGTGACGGGCAAGCAAGCAGCGACCGTACGACCCCTCGAATCGGCTGAACTTTACTCGTCGATAAAAGTAAGAAAATTTGAAAAATCTAAGAAACTATTACAGCCTGCAAATCTACAGATTAGTAGCTTTCATTTAAGAAAGAATCATGCAAATCGGTCCGGTGGTTCTCTCAAAGTTGATTTCCCAAAATTCGGACTCTAACTAAGAGGTTAGTACGTAAGGGTTTCAGCGCTGTCACGAACCCATCCGTTTTCTTTTGGATGCTTCCCGGATCAGCATCCGTCAATGAGTAAAGACCAATCCCTGTCTCCCTGACGAACGGTTTCGTGTAAGCATCCATGAAAACTTCTTCTAGGGCCTTGTCCAAACGAAACTTTGGGTACGCCTGTATACCTTTGCCCTCCACATGAGTCAACCCTCTTCTAATTCAAGAGACAAATAGAGACAAAGCCGGCTCGGCTCATTGAAGCGGTCTTTGGCCGCCCGTCGCGATGCTATTCCGAGGACACTACCACGCGTGCCTGCTGAGGCTCCGGCCCCCCTCTCGAAGGTATCGAAAATATTATCAAAAAGGTTGCCGGGGAAAGTTTTGGGGTGGTGTATAGGATACCAAAAGGACCTACTAACCTACCAGGAACACATTAATTTTGATCACTAAATCCTTCAAAGATCAACAACGAGACACAGTACTCTGAAGAATATTGGGATTCAGGAACCTTAAAGGAACCGCAGGGGAGGAAATACTCACTTTTGGGATGGAACAAAATTTATCTTTTTTTTTTTTTTTTTTTTTTCGAGGATTACAAGGGACCACAATGCGAAAACAAACTTTCTTCAGCAACAACTTTCAGGTTATAATACTTTTTTAATTCAAAACTCCTCCCTCTTCAAGGCTCGGTCAGCTGATGCCGATCGGGGCTTGGACATACTCTCCATTGTAAAAAGTGAAACGGATAACATAGGAGCAGCCCGAAACATATGACAAATGATACCTAAGTAACAGTAAAATCCTAATTTTGAGAAAACCAATCACAGGTCAAATTTTCATGTTCCTTAACGAACTCTCGAATAAATATTATTGGTTGCATGGGCGGCCCCTGAAAAATGGTTGGAAACGAATGCTAAACGAGATTCCAATTGGCATCTCTGGCTCCCAGTTGTAAAGTAGCATCCTTTATGCATCGGAGAAGTGAAAAGTACGCGGATTGAACTTTTTTTATGGTAATGCAGAAAACTTTGGCACAAAAATTATTTATTTCCTAAATCCTGTCGGCCAAAATAGCAAGTCTCTATTTTCCGCTAAATCGGGATTAATTAATAAATTAAATGTCTAATCGAAATTTTGAGAACTGATTAATTAATCGCAACGAAAGATATTCGATTCGTTAATTAATTAATGAATCAAACTAGACGACTGCCAACCGGGCAACTGGTGATTGATGCATGCAGGATGAAATGACTTTTGTGCACTTATACTTTCCCCAATTCCAGTAGAGGCGAAGTAAGTCGTAACTGGTTTTCCGTAAAAAGTTCGTCCTTTTCATTTTACCTTTAGTCGGTCAAAAGGTTGGCAGTTAAGGATTGGTGCATTCCCTATGTGGATCGATTCTCCGGAAGGAGTATAGGTCAAAATAGAACACTAAATGATATTGAAAATGAACTTACTTCTAAAGTCTGGTACCAAAATTCTTTAGACATTTTATAGAGGAAACAGGTCGTCTTACGGTCGTCAACGGTACGTCTTTCTTCGGCCAGAGGTAGACTTAGAATGACGATGAGCGCGGAGCTGCGATTGGCAACCCCGTGATCGTCCACCGAGAAACAGCTGACAAATCGTGGAAGTTGATTGGGCGCGGAAGTATGAGGGGGCATATGGAACGACGTTCGGGAGTCTCCTCGCGGACCATTTTTTGGCGCGAATTTGAAGCGCTGAGCGAGTTCTTACCCCATTGCCTGCTCCATGCTTGCCATGTATCAAAATGAAAGG